CATATGGATAGCTATCAGGCTTCTGCCTGAGACCCCTCCTATGTCCTGGCCCCAGAGCTGGTGTTTCTTTGTCAGTGGTTGGGGCTGGAAGGAGGTAATGCTCACTAACCTAAAGTCTTTAGCCTCAGCTTACCACGGTTTTAGCAATGTCAGGGGGCGTTTTGCAACATTTACTCATTTCAAAGTTCACAGAGAAATAGAATCACAACTTCTTTATGTGTGATAGAAAGCAACAGAAATCTTCATATTGTTATAAAGTTGTATGAGAAACACGTAAGCAGATATCTTTAAAAGAGGGATTGTCTTCAAGTGGTTAATGAGAGACTCACTTCTCTTTAATGGAACACATAGGTTTCCTCTCAGAACAGGGTCTTCTCTTCTACTTAAGGACATTAATAATACATTTTAGCAATATTTCTTACCCCAGTTTTTGAGTTTGACATGCACATGTTTACATTTCTCACATGTTGGAATTTGGAATGTGTGGCAGACCATGAATGCAGTAAGAAGAATTAAAGATGCTTACTTAGAAGACTATATTTAAAAATGTTCCCAAAATTTATTTTACAAGAAGACAGGAATGAGATGAAAAATAAAAACTTGGGAGATTGATTTAGAATGCAAAATGTTAACAAACACATTTTAGAAAGGGAGTGGGGAAGAGGTAGTTTCAGAATATTGCAAAAAAGAGAAAATCTTCTGTGTGGAAGAACAACCTGGGAAACTGCACAGGTGCTAAGAAATAGCTCAATGCAATACACTTGATGCTTTTATGTGGTTACCAGACTATGTTATTGGAGTGTATAATTGTGACCCCTCATTATAAGTGGGAGTGAGTAAAAATTTTTCTTTAAATAATGACTGGGCACACAGACAGTGTCCTTTTCAGCTCTACCATCACTTCTGTTTTTTTTTGGTCTGGTGAGCGCATAGTTGATATTTATGCTTTCCTGATACACTGTACTCATTGCTGACATTGGAGAAGATCCGGGAAAAGGCCCGAGATGAGTGACCTTTAGGGACATTTCTGTTCTCTTCCTGTACTCTCCTGCCAAGGACCAGTCGGTCTTGCCTCAGGCCTGCAGGAACGTCAGTTGGTGACAATATCAGGCAATGTCAGCCAGGCCTATTCGCTGCTCCTTGTCTCTGACATTCCTTTGCTGCCTGATAGTCTAACTTAAGCCACCTAGGCAGGATTGCTCTTTCCCAGTTCCTATGGAAAACAGTGTCTGGTGAGACCAGAGACACAAATCTCCATAATACAGTGGGATCTGCTGGGACCAAGCAACTACTCTCTGCCTAAGAGTAAACTCACGAAGCTCAGCTAGAACCAATCCGCTTTCCATAGAGCCAGAAAGAATTGACAATTAGTAATGTATTCCCCTTTCCAGTACATCTATATTTTTGCCAGGAAAAATACCAATCTGCCTGGTTCCCTTGCAAGGGCAAAGTTACCCGTAGGAAAGCCTTTGTATTAGGAAGTCTCCCTGTAATATTACCCACAACTCTTCAGAAGGGCCAGACCAGACCCTCATCTGCACAGCCCAGGATCCACTCATCCACAATGGTAAAGAGGCCTGTCTTTAGGATTTCCTGTTGCACACCCTCTCTACCCCCATCATACCTCCAACCAAGCTGTCCTCAAATTAACACCAGCCATGCACAAAATGTGAACTATTACACAAGACACACAGAAGGTCTAAGTGGAAAGTGGCAGCTGTTGATACCGACTAACCTGTATATTTCATGAACTGACAAGCAGGGATTTACCAGATAAAACAGAAGAATCAGCAGCTGGAAGAAGTGCTAACAATGCAGGACTCTGATAGGGCTTTTTGGAAATACAACATTTATTGTGAAATTACACAGACAGGAATGAAAAAAGGTGGTGAGGAGTACTATATCCTATTATTAGAAGATTAAATAAAGGAAATCTCACAAATTCATGGGGAAAAAAGCCAGATATATAATAAAAAATACACATAATGAACTTGACTCAGGAAATAAAATATGAATAAAGACATAGTAGAAAGAACGTGGGGAGGAATGCCTATCAGAATATTGTAGACAAAAATACTCTTTGTGGAAGAACAATCTGAGGAAACAGGCACCACAAATACTGACTAAACCAAGAAAACCTATATAATGCAATTGAGGGTTTGATGGTGGTGTCTGATTATCTTATTTGAGTGTAGAATTGTGGCCACTTAATTATCAGTGGTAGAAATTTGTTATAATTCCTAGGAGAAATGAAGCAGTGGGTGAATTTTTTTTTTTTACCATCAAATTTTTATTGCCATGTTAAATATTTATTTCACCGTGGTGTCATGCTGGTGGATGAGCAGTGATTTGGGTAGATATTGTCCCTTCCTTTCAGGGATGGGATCCAAGACTGACGTATCATTGTGAATAGACACAAAAAGGAAATATATGGCTGCGTGCTTTGCACAAGTAAACATAGGGATGTTTTATAGTCTTCCGTCCATCATCTAGGGATGTTATATACTTTGTAGATGAACAGTAGCAATATCTTAGTTCCAGACTCCCTGTTGTTACTTCACTCAAAGTACACAGCATCCCATTGTCATTGATTGTGTTGTGAGGCCAAACTTTTTCTTCCTGTTAGTCCAAATAAAATTAGTAGGCATCTCTATTGCAAAAGAAATGATGACATACCTGCCTAAACTAAGAAGACTTAAAAAGTCCTCTTCTGTGTGCCTTCTCTGAGCTGTAAGAATGTATAAAACCCTGTAGCACAGTGAGGGACATGGCAGGCACTTGGAGAATTTATTTTTTTTCCTTAATTTTTTGTTGTGAAAAATTTTCCACACACAGATATGTTGCGAAAATTGTATCATACCCATAAACTCTTCACCTAGATAATGATTGTGCATCATTGACCTTAGTTGCTTGTTTCTTTCTAGGTGTATATATGTATATTGTTCACCATGGTATCATATATATACACATAATATCTATATATAAAATATATATACAATATATATACAAACTATTTGAATGTAAGTTGCAGATATCTTCACACTCTGCCACTAAATGTTTCAGCCTGCAGCTCTGAAGAACAAGGACACTCTCTTATACGTCAACAATACCATTATCACCTCCTGCATCAGAAACTCAAATTCAGTGATTCCACAATATCATCTAATAGTTAATCCACATTCACATTCCCCAATTCTTCCAAATACTTCTTTCTGGCTTTCTTGTTTCCAAACTAGACGTTAATCAAGGGTTGCACACTGCATTCCGTTGAGTCTCTTTAGTTTTTTTTGATCTAGAAGAGTTCCCTCATTCATTCATTCATTCATTCATTCATTTCTTCATGCATTTTTATAACACTGATATTTTGAAGCAGCCAGGCAAGTTGCCTTTAAGAATATCTCACATTCTGAATTTGTATGATTCCCTCCTCGTGGTGCCATTTAAGTCATGGAACATGTATTCTTTTAGGATTCTTCCCCTCCCCTGTGTTTATAAATTGTCAAGTTGTCATCAGCCAGTGCATTTGATTGTGGTGAGTAACAGGGGGACGTGAAGAGTCCTGCAGGTTGGCAGACCTGTAATATTTTTTTATTACTATACTTTAAGTTCTAGGGTACATGTGCACAACGTGCAGGTTTTTTACATACGTATACATGTGTCATGTTGGTGTGCTGCACCCATGAACTCATCATTTACATTAGGTATATCTCATAATGCTATCCCTCCCCGCATCCCATGACAGTCCCCAGTGTGTGACATTCCCGTTCCTGTGTCCAAGTGTTCTCATTGTTCAATTCCCACCTATGGTGAGAATATACAGTGTTTGGTTTTCTTGTCCTTGTGATAGGTTGCTGAGAATGATGGTTTCCAGCTTCATCCATGTCCCTACAGATGACATGAACTCATCCTTTTTTATGGCTGCATAGTATTCCACAGTGTATATGTGCCACATTTTCTTAATCCAGTCTATCATTGATGGGCATTTGGGTTGGTTCCAAGTCTTTGCTATTGTAAATAGAATTCCCTTTCCTAGCCAAGGGAAGCTGTGAGACATGGCACCGGGAAAATCAGGTCACTCCCACCTTAATACTGTGTTTTTCCAATGGTCTTAGCTAACGGCACAGGAGTGGGTGAATTTGATAGAATATTCTAGAGAAAGGGAAGAACATGAAGGAAGTTTTAGTGACACGACATCACATGGCTCCCTTATAGAACTCTGTATTCAGTTTTCTCAGGTCTAGAAATTTCCTGGTGGTTTCTGTGTCCATTTGCATTAATAGCACTTAAAAATACTTTAAAATACTTTAAAATACAGAATTTTAGCCTTCCTGTGTTGTACAGCACCAAGCCTTGCCTGAGCTGAGTGAGATCCACAGAAGCTTGTACAATAGCTATAGCCTGAGCAGGCTGCGGGGCAGCATTCTGTCATCTTTGTGTGCCCAGGAGTGTGCTGTCCTCACACATCTCACAGATAGCAGAAGCCATCTCTATCGCATCAAAAATTTAGATAATTTTTGTCTTCCCTCAATCACCTCACAAGAGAGGGACATAGGCCATAAAAGATCCGGAGATATTGACCATCTTCATTGCTGGCTGTAGCATCACTGCTCACACACACATAAACAGAAATAAATAGCACAGTGGAAAGCGGATAACAGTCTTACGTAAAAGATTGAAACTTTCATGGTATCTAAAGTTCAATTATGACACAGTGCTGGCGGCTTGGACACAGTTCCTTGAAAACCATAGTTCAAGTCCTAATTGTACCTTTTAGGAAGAAGACACTAGCAACATATCCGACCCAATCCATCCCTTTGATAGAGGCTAGTGTATCAAAGAGAAATAAGGGATACGCATGACCTGCAGCGAACAAAGCAGAACCCAGTCTCTGAGGTGGTGAGGCCCCACCAGTGTGGAGCTCAAAGGTGTCATTGTTCTGATCCTCTTTATAAAGGGAGCTGCCCCGTTCCTCCCAGCACAGAGTTGGGAGCACCTCCAGAGCCTCCTGCAAGATGTTGTTGATTCTGCTGTCAGTGGCCCTGCTGGCCCTGAGCTCAGCTCAGAATTTAAATGAAGGTAAAACAGAAGGGGGAGAAGATGCGGTGACCCTGATTGGGGCTTAGGAGGTGATAATGGTAATTAGGGGGAAGAGAAGAGAATGAAAACCCAGATGGGGCTGCAGAGTTTTCAGGCCTGGGATCAGGAGACCGATTGCACCCTCATTCCACACTAAGGGTTTCTAATTTATTTAACGTACAATGAAATCCAATAAAGAATTTGTTCCAGGGGAATGAGAAAGTAAGATTTGCATTTATAGAGAGATATGACTGTGCTGTGAAGGATGCAGTGGAGAATGCAAGGCAGATTCAGAGAAGTCCAGTTCTGAGCATCCTATACTGATCTCATTAAGTACAGAGGGATGATGGTGGCTTTGCTGTGCGGTGGATCAGCATGGATGATGGAAATAAACACACATCAGAGATACTGCAGAGAGAGAACTGGATGGAACACTTGTCTCTGTCTAACTAGAGATATAGAAATATCAGAGCCAATGATTGTGGTTTATCTCTCCCCTACATGCTGTATTTCAATGTGCTGGGAGTGGGATGGGTAAGATTGTATTGAAATGATTACTTCTGGTTATGCCAATTGAGAAAGCATGCGTACAGAAGCAACGTATTTCTAGGAGGTGGAGGGCATAAGAATACCAAACTATCACATTGAAGTCCCTAGCATGTGTAAATTAAATCCGCATTAAGTCTTGAGGATGCTAGGGAAGGAAAAAAGGGGCTCTTCTATGTTGAGTTCATGGTTGTTGCTCGGTGTCGTAACAACCGTGCCTCATCTTACAGCTTCCTCCCCTTTCAGCAGCTTCACAGACAGTGGCTGACGAGTTAACTTAGGGGATTCACGGGGTGGTGAGAAGACCCTTTTCCCTGTAGAACACTTGTGAGTCTTGAAAGATTCCAGAGGTAACTTTTCCCATCATCCTGTGCTTCTCTTCTAGATGTCAACCAGGAAGAATCTCCCTCCCTAATATCAGGTAAATCCCAATTTATTCTCAATCTGTTTTAACTGTCTTTTTCTGCTCACAAATGGATCAGCTCTCCAGTGTCTTCTTATCAACATGAACCTTTCAGGAATTGATTAATGTTAGTGCCACTAATAAGAGGCAATCTTCATGCAAGCTTGATTCTGGGGACCGTGAGCAGGCCACCAAATTGAATGGCAGAGATGCTTGGCTTAGATGACAACAGGAGTGGGTTGACTCATCCCCCTGGCCAGGAGTGCCTCCTGGGAGATGACAGGCGACTGGGCAGCATCCTCATTCTGACTCCTCTTTATACTGAGAGTCCCCCAACTGCTTTGTTCTTCCCCAGCGTTCTATTCCAGAGATCTATGTCTTCACTGAAAATGCAAAGAAATTAGTGTCTTGGTCCCATTTTTGTGCGTTTCCCCCCTCAGCTTGTTACCCTAGCTGATCAAAATTTACTGCAACTATTCAGTGAATCTTGTGTGGGCTTTTACTCTGTCTTTCCCTTCTCTCTTTCTCCTCCAGAACATCAACAAGGACAACCCCAGCAAGGAGGCAACAGGCCCCAAGGTCCCCCACCTCCAGGAGGGCCACAAGGACCACCCCAACAAGGAGGCAACAAACCTCAAGGTCCCCCACCTCCAGGAAAGCCACAAGGACCACCCCAACAAGGAGACAACAAACCTCAAGGTCCCCCACCTCCAGGAAAGCCACAAGGACCACCCCAACAAGGAGGCAACAGACATCACGGTCCCCCACCTCCAGGAAGACCACAAGGACCACCCCAACAAGGAGGCAACAGACCTCAAGGTCCCCCACCTCCAGGAAGGCCACAAGGACCACCCCAACAAGGAGGCAACAGACCCACCTCCAGGAAGGCCACAAGGACCACCCCAACAAGGAGGCAACAGACATCAAGGTCCCCCACCTCCAGGAAGGCCACAAGGACCACCCCAACAAGGAGGCAACAGACCTCAAGGTCCCCCACCTCCAGGAAGGCCCCAGGGACCACCATCCCCTCCTCAAGGGGGCAGACCCGCCGGACCTCCCCAGGGACAGTCTCCCCAGTAATCTAGGATTCAATGACAGGTATGATTCCAGTTGATTCTTCACCAAGTGCTCTCATTGCTACGGGTCCTCCAGCTTTACTGTGACAAAGAATCAACTAAAAGCCCATTGACATCGCATTGTCCTAGAACCCATTTCTAAAGATTTGTGTTCAGGTATTCTCGAAATGGGTAACAAGGCCCTATATTTGTAACAAGCTCTTGAAGGAATTCTGATGTTGAGAAACAACGTTCCAAATAATCTGTCTTAAATTGTATTGGCAATGAGGAAGTAGTACCATGTTCCCTCTGGCACTCTGTTTTCTGTCCATAGACTCAGAGACCTCCCATTTAAAGTTTTCACCTGAGCACTGTTTGCTCTGTCCTGCCTCACACCAGCCTCTCTAGTCCAGTATTCCTGCCAAGTGGTCCCTGAACTTTCAGCAGCTAAATGGTGTCTCATTTTTCAAATTCTTACTTTTCAGTAAGCACGTGATTAAGCTTGCAACAAATATCTAATGGAATGGAAAAATATGAAGCTAAATTTAAAGGCATAACTCATCCTACCAGCCTTCTCTCCTTTAGAAAACTACCACTGTTAACTTAATGACATCTTCTCTTTGAAATATTTATGTGTACGTAAACAATTAGAATAGTTTTCCCTCAGAACTAAGATCATAATTTACATGCAGGTACATATGTTAGTCATTTAAATAATACATTTCCTTGGACAGTTCCACATGAGTAAATCTCTTAAGTGGTTATCTGTTTGCTTTGATAATTTTATGCTACTCCATTATGTGGTTGCACTGTGATTTCTTTAACCAATCCTTGTCACTGGACACTGAGGGTGGTTTCAGCTTCTCACTATTATAGAATATATTCCAGTTGCCACTGTATAAATATATCACTGAACAAATTCAGCAGCAAGTAATAACAAGCCAGGAATGATCTTATCTTTTCATCACGTCAGGAACAATTTGGAGCACATTTTGTGCAAAGGAAGGGCATCAAAATAGTGAACACACAAAAACTTAGGAAGGAAACATAGGAGGTAGAGGGATGGGCAGAGGGGATGGGCTCTCATGTACTCTACTGCAGTAACTCCAGGGAGGAATTAGACATTTCCTGCCATGTCAAGTCTGGTCTATGAACCTTCTTGTTGGTTTGTTTCAGGAAATGAATAAGAAGACGACAGTGATTCAAATGATTCAAATGCCGTGACGTTGGAAGAAGGTGGTCATAGCTGTAACTTCAATATACCAATAAAATAATCAGCTTGCAATTTCTGATTGTAGTGTCTGTTTCTCAATGTTTGTGAATGTGGGATCTGAGGACCAAGAGGACATTCTAAGAACATCTAGGAACCCTTCTCCTTGATGCTCCAGGAAGCTTCCCTCTTGCTTAATCCTAATTTAGCCAGCTGCCGTGAAAAAAGGTTTTAGTGTTTCTCTACTTCCCTGACTTCTATTTCTTTCCCCCCTGAGATGGAATTTTTTTTACTCAGGCTGGAGTGCAGTGGCACGATCTCGGCCCACTGCCACTGCATCTCCTGGGTTCAAGCTATTCTCCTGCCTCAGCCTTCCAAGTATCTGAAGTTATAGGTACCCACCATCATGCATGGCTAATTTTTGTATTTTTGGTAGAAATGGAGTTTCACCATGTTGACCAGGCTGGTCTCCATCTCCTGACCTCAGGTGATCCACTTGCCTCAGCCTCCAAAACTGCTAGGATTATAGGTGTGAGCCACCATGCCTGGCCCTTCCCTGACCTATATAGCACAAAATAAAATTTTAAAATTAT